ATAAATAATTCACTTTAAATAGTGCAAGATGGTTAATTAGGGTATCACCCCAGGTGGAACGAAGTGTGATGAAATCCATGTCAAGTGTGCATTTATTGCGAAACCCACATACGCACCATTGGTGTGTGCCAGTTACCTTGATCTTGGGGAAGGCTTGGTTTGGACTTGGGATGTTTTAATTCGAACTATTTACTTACTACCTAATCAGGATGTGACATGTGTCCGGGATGAAATCACTACCCCGTAGGCATATGTGTATGCTCATTTTCATGTCAACTAGCGTGTCGTAAAAATGACGGTTGCATGGTTGAGTCCACCATTGGGCAAAGGGTGGACAGCCCACCCTCGATTTATAATATTTCTCATATATTATATATATATACTTATTTAACTCACCCGTTTTTTCTTAATTACCCATCCTAAATATAAGTTAATGCGGAAAAAAGAAAAAAAAAAAAATACATTTTCAGTTTATGTCACAAAAAAGTCTTAAAAAAAATTCAGAGGCGCTGCCCCTGAACCTCTGAAAATTTAAGCCCACCCTATAACAAATTTCTGAACTCGCCACTGAGCACAATCCCTGCAAACTATAAATAGAGTCTCATTTTCCAACAAAATTCACTCACAAATCTAAAGCATTTATTTCATTGCATATTTATGCATTCGAAATCCTTATTCATGTCTTTGTGAAAAGTTCTAATACCTTTTCGTTTGTTGTATCCTAAAATTGTTGTGATACTTTTGACGAATTAAAATAGTCATTGTATCTTGTTGCAGTTGCCATTAACAAGAGTACTTGTTTGCCGGACCAATTTATCTTAAGGAGAAAAATTCTTGCCTCGACTATTTTTCAATTCTTTTGTCGAATTTCTGTTCATATTGTCAGTTTGAAATGCACACCCAAATGACAAATATTGCTTAGAATATCCCTTGAAATACAATTAAAAGAATAAAAGAAAAATGGGTTTTTATGGATAAGTCTCTTACCAATCATCTTTATTAATTCTCGATTCAGGGGCTATATCTCTTTCGCAATAAGCACATTCCTATAATCTTATTAATAAAAGTAAGGTTGCTCCTGTTAAACCCTAGGAATTTTTTTCTGCTCATTTGATAGTTATAAATTATTATTGTCATTTATTTTATTGTTTTATTTTAATTAATATAATCATGTTAAATAAATCCATTAAGTATCCAGACTTTTTTGCTCCAAATCTACGTATGTTTTTCCAGTAAAATTGTCATTTCAATTAATATTAATTTTATTGGAAAATTATTTAATTGTTTAGAAAAACATTTGATTTTTATTTTATTAATAAAAATAAGGTTGATCCTGATAAACTTTTGTGATTTAATGGCATCATTGATTTATAGTAAATTTGTTGGGGGCTGTTATGAGTGATAAAGAAGAAGATTCGTCAAAGTTCTACCTTAACTGAGATAATATAAATATGCAACCATATGACATAAAAAAATATAAAGTTAAATGAATAAATATGGCTTATGGATGGGGGATTAGCATCAATACATATAACAAAACATAAAAATGAATTGATACTTCAATTTTGTTGTTTAAATTGAACTTTACTTTTGTATTAATTTTACTGTAATCCTGTGCATCGCACGGGCTAAAAATCTAGTATGTATTATAAATAAAGACAAAATTAATGTATATGACAAAATTACCCCAAAACCTTGAAATTCAATTCCTAATTCGAACCATCAATTTTGACCACAAAACTCCAATTTTGTCATTTTCTTTTTTAATGTTTTTAATTTTCTTTTTTGCCGCCGGTTTCTGGCATTGGCTTTTTTTTTTTCCTAAAATTTTTATCTATTTTTCTTTTCGCCTGCAGCTGAAAATTGACCGTAATTGTACTTTTATTGACAGTACGATTACTGTAAACACAATAATATTATTGTCAACCACATCAATATTATTATTTTTTGCCTTTTTTATTTTGTTTAATTTGCTGACCAGTCAATTTAATAATATTACTGTCGTTGACGGTAAAATTACTGTAAACACAATAATATTACTGTCAACCACATAAATATTAATCTTTTTTGGCGTTTTTATTTCGTTTAAATTCAACATAATAATCTTCTTACACGCCCACCCTAATGGTGTTAAATTCAACATAATCTTCCAGATTCCATGAAATGTTCTCTAGTTTGTACTCGTTTTATGCAAAAAATAAAGTTTCTGATGCACCACAATCTTATATATACAAGCCAAAAAATATATCTTATGATCATATTGCTTCAAAATGTGGAGCTCGAATGGGACAAAATGGGTACAAAACTAGGAATATTCCGTATAATCTAGAAGATTCCACTAAATTTAACACTGCAATGGTGTACATATAAGAAAATTCATAGATGAGGGGTGATTGTAATCACCAAAATATAAAGAAGTTTTTCGTAACTAATTACCTCACGGTGGCCGTAATTCACCCAAAATTAAAAGAATGAAAAAAAATTAACCCTAAGCCCAAAAAAAAAAATGTAGATGACCGTTGAGACCCAGCTGTATTCTCCGACAACCTCAGATATCGTGTCGTCTCTTTGGCACATTCGGCCCTCTCCCAAAACACACACACACACACACACACATTAATCCAAACAGCTGAAGAAAACAGTACTTAGCAGTAAATAAGCCCATAACGGCTACCAACAAAGTGCTTTTCTTCACTCGAGGCACAAAAACAAAAACTAGGGGTAGTACTGTATAAATCTAGACATTCACGTCAGTTTAGATTTATTTTTCTTCTTTTCGTTTTCTCTCTCTCACACGTTCTCTCTCTCCATCTTTCTCTCACACGTTTTTTCTCTATATCCCTTTCTCTCTCGTTCTTTGCTCTCGTCTCTCTATATTTCTCTTGTTCTTCAGTAGTTACACGAAGACAACCGCCGGCGGTGATGGAGGGAGCAGGGGGCGGTGGATCGAGAGAGTATGGTGAAAACGGTGGCGGCGGGAGGAGGCAGCGGCGACGTCGGGTGGAGGCGGGGGTGACGCCGGCGGCGGCGTCGGGTGGAGGTGGGGGCGACGGCGGCGTCGGGTGGAGGCGGCGGCGGCATCAGGTGGAGACGGCGGCGTCGTCGGGTGGAGGTGGCAGCGGCGGGTGGAGGCGTGGTGGGGGTTGTGATTATTGTTGAGATGTTATGGAAAGTATATTTTTGACTAATAAATTGGATTTGATTTCCTTGTGTTTTGATAGATTTTTGCTTGATTTGGGTTCAAATGCAAGATCTAGGTTTTTCCAAAGTTGGTAGGTGACTATTCGCGGCGGCTGCGAGCGTGGGTTGCTAGGGTTGGCGGCGGCTGAGTTCGCTGCTAGGGTTTGCGACGGCTTGGTGGCTAGGGTTTCGTAGTAAAGTATAGTATACCGTAGTATATTATACTACACCGTAGTATACCATAGTACTTCCTACACTATAGTATACTGCAGTACATTGTAATATACCATAGTATACTATAGAAAAATTGAAAAATATGTAAATTGAAATTAAAAAAAAAAAACACGTTTTTTTTACTGGAACTCTCAATATTAAGTAAAAAAAAGGATAAAAATAAAGAAATTTTTATAATAGTGTGTAAAATGTTAAAATGAATAAAGAAAAAAAGGAAGACAAATCGATATTCTGAAGGAAAAAAATATTAGATGGAAATATGAAAATATTAAAAGCATAAAATATTAAATGATAAATGCAGTTTGGAATTTACTTAATGAATATTTCGAATTTGTGAGTGGAGGGGCATTTTTTGAATGAATTTTATAAAGGATGTGAAGCAAATGTTTAGTTAGACTTGTCATTTAGTTCAAATAAGGTTTGTCACCAAGGACCTATATCCTAAGACCCCTAATTTTATTGCAATCCCGTGCATCGCACGAACAAAAAATCTAGCATGTATTATAAATAAAGACAAAATTAATGTATGCGACAAATTACCCCAAATCATTTAAATTCAATTCCTAATTCTAACCACAATTTAACTTCAATTTCATCAATTTTAACAACAAAAACCCAATTTTGTCCTTTTCTTTTTAATTTTTTATTTTCTTTTTTGCCGCCGGTTTCGGCGTTGACTTTTTTTTTTTCCTAAAATTTTTATCTATTTTTTGCTCGCCCGCCGCTGAAGGTTGACCATAATTATACTATTGATGACAGTACAACTACGTAATTTTACTGTTGTTGACATTACAATTACTGTAACCACAATAATATTATTGTCAACCACATCAATATTTATTATTTTTTTTTTACCTTTTTTATTTTGTTTGATTTGCTGACGAGTCAATGTAATAATATTACTGTCGTTGACGGTAAAATTACTGTAAACATAATAATATTACTATCAACCACATAACTATTAATTTTTTTTGGCGTTTTTATTTTGTTTAAATTCAACATAATCTTCTTACACGTCCACCCTAATGGTGTTAAATTCAACATAATCTTCCAGATCCCATGAAATGTTCTCTAGTTTGTACTCGTTTTGTACAAAAAATAAAGTTTCTGATGCACCACAATCTGATATATATAAGCCAATAAACACATCTTATAATCATCTTCCTTCAAAATGTGGAGCTCGAATGGGATAAAACGGGCACAAACTTGATAATACTCCATATAATCTAGAAAATTCCACTAAATTTAACACCTCAATGATGGAAATATAAGAAGATTCATAGTTGATGGCTGATTGTAATTACCCAAACATAAATGATGATTTTTTTTCGTAATTTAACCTTAGCTCAAGGTAACAGTAATTTATCCAAAATTAAAAGAATAAATTAACCCTAACCCAAAAAAAAACGTAGATGACCGTTGAGACCCAGCTGGATTCTCCGACAACCTCAGATATCGTGTCATCACATTGGCACATTCGGCAGTGTCTTCTTACCCTCTCCCAAAACAACAGTACTTAGCAGTAAATAAGCCCATAACGGCTACCAACAAAGTGCTTTTCTTCACTCGAGGCACAAAAAAACTAGGGGTAGTCCTGCAAAAAAAATAAAAAAATATTAAAAAAAGAAACAGAGAACAAGACAGAATTGAAGATGATTTTGTAGCCGTTGGATCAATTCTGACAACAACTTTTTGTGATTGACGCCTCAACCATTTTTCCCTCCCCCCTCTTAAATAAATAAATAAATACCCTTTTTCACTACTTCTTTTCTTTCTTGACCAATTTGCTTTCTTTAGCCTCTTATTACAAACAAGGGTTTTCTTTACTGCATTTTCTTGAACACTCTGATGAAGAAGATAACAATGGCGGCAATGGTGCTTTTTCTTTTTCTGGTTTTGGCATTTTCTTCTGCTTCTGCTGATGACGAAGGTAACTTTGTTTTTTAATTAATTTATTTATTTAAGGAGGATGTTGATAATTACTTACCTGCCCTCTTTTGTTTTTGGGTTATTTGTAATGGTGGGTTTTGTTGTAAGTTGTTACTTGTAAGTTTGTGGTTGTGTTCATATAGCTTATTTTAAGCACATTCTTGATTTGCTATTGCTTTTTTTTTTTTTTTTTTTTAATTAATTAATTTAAGGAAGATATTAATAAATGCTTACTGCCCCCTTTTGTTTTTGGGTTATTTGTAATGGTGGGTTTTGTTGTAAGTTTGTGGTTGTTTTTGTATGGCTTGTTTTAAAGCACATTCTTGATTTGCTATATTTTTATGTTGTTTGCCAAGAAGTAAGAACCAGAGGGGTTTTTAATTTAATTTTATTTTTGCATTAATTCACATTGACTAATTCAGATTTCAGACATGTATTTACTTACTTGTTAGGATTTTATTACCTGGTAAATGTTGTCTCAAGAATTAAAAAAAATATGGCAAAAAAAAAAAAAAAGAATTGATTTTTTTTTATGAACATGAAGATGATTTTTTTTTTTGTTTTTATTTTTATTTTTATTTTTCATCTTTGTCCTTATCAGTGTTGGCATATTATTGTAAGAGAATATTAGCAATGTGATTGATGGCTGTATGAGTGTATGAGGGGTCCAATTTTTTCAGACCATTTCTGAATTTAAGTGCTCAAATGAAGCCAATATTCAATTATCATTGTTATTGTCCTTTTTATTTTAATTCTTTCTTCTTATAGTTTTCCTCAAACATTTGATTTCTTTGGCGAGGTATAAAAGATAAAACAACCCGACTAATCAGGGCCCGTTTGGCGAAACTTATTTTAAACAGCTGATAAGCTCCTACGTAACATCTTATTTTTTGAATTAATTTTTAAAGTGTTTGGATAATGAGTTTATTTATTATTTTGACTCATTATAAAATCTATAATATAAAGGTGGGTAAAAGTACTAGTTAAAAAAAGCTTATTTGATCTCCAACAACTTACTTTTAAAAAATTTAAGATCTTTTAAAAAAAATTACCAAACACTTTAGAAGAAATTATAAGCTTTTAAACAACTTATAAGCTTAGCCAAACACCCTCTAACAACAAATATGAATACAGTATGTGATTTCCAGCTCATTGATTTTTGTCCTGTCTCTGCTGAATCATGTCATGTGTGTGTGTGTGTGTCCAAATATTGCAACAAGAAAGTATTATTGGTCTTTTCTTGATCTCTTCTTGGACCAAATAACTTGTGCATGTTACTTATTCAAAAACCTGTAAATGTAAATGTAATCCTCTGCTAATCAATAATATTTCTGTAATGTATGTATACAAATAAAAGTAAAATCATTCCAATCAATCTTCATGCAATATTTCTAATTTAAAAGTACTTGCAAGTCGATATAATGAAAAGAGTACTAAAAAACGCAATAAAACAAAACTCTATTTCTATTTTTTTTACAGAAGCATTCATCGGAGTGAACATAGGTACGGATCTCTCCGACATGCCCCACCCGACCCAAGTGGTCGCCCTCCTCAAAGCCCAACAAATCCGCCACGTCAGACTCTACAACGCCGACCGAGGCATGCTCCTCGCCCTAGCCAACACCGGAATCCGCGTCGCTATCTCAATCCCCAATGACCAAATCCTCGGCATCGGCCAGTCGAACTCCACCGCCGCCAATTGGGTCTCCCAAAACGTCGCCGCTCACTACCCCGCCACCAACATCACAACAATATGCGTCGGTTCTGAGGTCCCCACCTCCCTACCCAATGTGGGCCCGGTCCTAGTCGCCGCCCTCAAGTACATCCAATCCGCCCTCGTGGCGTCGAATCTCGACCGTCGGATCAAAGTCTCCACCCCTCTACCCTCCCTCATGATCCTCGACTCTTTCCCTCCTTCCCAAGCCTTCTTTAACCGTACGTGGAATCCCGTTTTAATCCCGTTGCTAAAATTCCTCCAATCCACGAACTCCTACTTAATGCTGAACGTGTACCCTTACTACGACTACATGAAATCTAACGGGGTCATTCCGTTAGACTACGCACTCTTCAAGCCCTTACTAGCAAATAAAGAAGCAGTCGACGCGAACACCCTCCTCCACTACACGAACGTGTTCGACGCGTTGATCGACGCCGCCTACTTCGCGATGGCGGATCTAAACATCACCAACGTACCCGTTTTAGTGACGGAATCCGGTTGGCCTTCGAAGGGCGATTCGAATGAACCCGACGCTAATATGGACAACGCGAATACTTACAACAGCAATTTGATCAGGCACGTTTTAAACAAGACGGGCACACCAAAACATCCTGGTATTTCTGTCAGTACTTACATTTACGAGCTGTACAACGAGGATGCGAAGGCGGGCCCGCTTTCGGAGAAGAATTGGGGGTTGTTCGACAAGAATGGGGTTCCGACGTACATTTTGAGGCTGACTGGATCGGGGTCGGTTTTGGCTAACGACACCACGAATCAGACTTTCTGCACTGCTAAAGAAGGGGCAGACGAGAAAATGGTGCAGGCGGCTTTGGATTGGGCTTGTGGGCCCGGGAAAGTGGATTGTTCGTCTTTGTTGCAAGGGCAGGCTTGTTACGAGCCCGACACTGTTGTGGCGCATGCGACTTACGCTTTCGATGCTTATTATCATCAGATGGGGAAGACACCTGGCAGCTGCGATTTTAATGGGGTTGCTACTATTACTACCACGAATCCGAGTAAGTATTTTTGATTTTTTTTTTTTTTTGAAATTTTGTTTAGTCGTTTGCAATTTTGAATGGCGTATTTAGGAGTTAATAATGGGCATATCTAATGTGATTTTTCGGTTGTGATTTCATTGCAGGTCATGGTTCGTGCTTATTTCTTGGAAGGTACATTTTCATTTATCTACTCTCTCAATTTATAAGCACTTTATATTTGGAAATTTACACGGTTCACGACACGCACACGCACACGCACACGCACACGCACACGCACACGCACACGCACACGCACACGCACACGCACACGCGCACGCGCACACACACACACACACACACACACACACACACACACACACACACACACATAGATTTAGCTGTGGAAATTGGAATGGAATTTCTGATTTCCGTTGATTTTGATCGGAATATTTCTGATACGTAACCATATTTCTGACTTCCGATTTTTTTCGAATTTTTTGGAACGGAATTGGGATACATATTAGATTTCGACTCCTTATCCGATTTTAATTTTCAAAAATATTTCCAAAATTTCAAAAAACAAATTCAATATTATTACGTATTTTACATTAAAGGTGGCCAAAAAATAGGAAAAAATCGAATTCCGTCGATTTTTACGATTCAATAATCTTCGATATTTTTTATTCCTATTTCCGAATTTTCTGAAATTAAATTTTGCACATCCCAAAAGAAATTGATTTTTTTACGAAAGTGTGAATTTCTAATCCGATTCGTCCGATTTCCACCCCTACTACACATTCATTTACTAACATATTGTTACGGTGCTGCAGTGATAGGAACGGTACCTTTCTGAACAGCACAATTCCAGCTACGGATTCGAATAGCTCGAGCTCGACTTCTAAGTTCGTCCTATACAAGAATGCATTTTTCGGAGCAAATATTGCGATTATTTTACTATGGATTGCGGTTCTTTTGTAACATTGCTAAGTTCGGAACTAGCTCGATTAAGACAACCTTAAAAAAAAGTTTTGGCAAAAAAAATTTATGTGTCCTTTAATTCTCTTCTTTGTCTCGTGCCGACTTTTCGGAAGAAAGAAGGTTTTATTAGAGGGTTCTTTAGAAGGAAGTTAGGGCATGTACAGAGAACAAAATGTGTAAGAAGATTCTTTTGCAAGTGGGTGAACATTGAAACGTAATTTTTGAATTCTGCCGATTCCAATTGAAGATTTCCGATTTTGGAATAACATTCTTTTCATTTGGAATTCGAAAGTTTTGATTTTTGAATTTTATGATTTGTTTTGGAATGGAATTTGAATACGTACTAAATTCCGTTTCCGATCTGATCTTAGTTTTGCCAAAACACTTCCTAAAATTACACTATGGTCTATGAATATCAATATTAAAAGGTGTTTTAATTTATAGGTGACTGCAGCAAAAATTAAAATTCCGAATCTTGCATTTATGATTCTGAAACAAATTATTTCTTTCCAATTTCCGGAATTTTGATTTCCAAAATTTCCTATTCTTTTTGGAACAAAATGGATTTAGTGAAGACATCAAAAAAAATCTGATTTTTTATTTTTTTTCTCATAAAATGTTAAATTCAGATCGGGAAATTTACAGTTTTCGTCCCTCAAGTTTGTAATGATTTCACATTTGGTTCCCCATGTTCACAAAAAATACATTTGGTCCCTCATGTTTCAATAATTTGACACTTTTAGTAATTCTGTCAATTCACCATTAGTCCGTCAGTTACGGTAGTGATGGGCACACATTTAATTCTGTTAGTTTTAACGAAAAATTGACTGAAATAACTAAAAATGTTGATTTTTTGAAACACGAGGGACCAAATGTGTATTTCGTGAACATGAGGAACCAAATGTGAAATCAGTGCAAACTTAAAGGATGAAAATTGTATGTTTCCCGATTCCGATCCATCCAATTGCTAAACCTACCAACTCGATTTGTTGAAGTAAATGCATAGTCCTATTTTTTTTTTTTTTTTTTTTTCTCAACAGGTAATCAATTTAGATATGAGCCCATCTACTTTTGCATTTATAGAACTAATAATGTTCATATGGCCCCTACTTATCAGTCAAGTAAATATTAACATTAATAGTTCTGTAAATGCAGTCAAGTAAATATTATTTAACTATTGTTCAATTATATCAATCAATAATACTAGTCGATCAAGGTTAGTCGACTACATCAATCGATCATGGAGCGGGAGTTTAGTTCAAATAAAAATACAGGGATATTATAGGGCAACATTCATAAACACTAAAAAATGTTATTTCAGATATATATATTTTATAGAGCTAATTGCATAGAAACACTTGTGTAATTTCAATTGACTAAAAAGATCCTTGTGTTAAAAAAATTAGCGAAGACCTCCCTATATTTTACTTTGCAAAGCACACTGCCCCTTACATTTAAATTAGGTGTTGACTTACATGAAATGACGAAACCACCCTTAATTAGAACAAACCAAATACCCCACACTACAACACAAAAAATCGGCAAAAAAAAGGAAAGTTTGAAAAACTTCACTTTGGGGGCGGCAGTGGAGTTGAAGGTGACCGACCACCTCAACTGTCATCAAGAACAAAGAACAAAGTGAAGATGGCTCTTGTTAGTTTTGAGACGAATTTTCTGGTTGTTAAATTTCATTTGGCCTCTTTTGT